TCTCTCACTTCCTCTTCCTCCCTGTCTTCTTCTATTTCTCCATCTTCCTTTCCCTCCAGAATCTGAACACTTTCTATTTTGGATGGACAGGTGACCATTGAGTCCCATTGATCTACCTCTACCTGTTCTTTAATGTTCTGAAGCATTGCCATATTGATTTCCAAAGTGCCTGTGCTAGATTGTACTCCCAACAGCAATGTAGGAGTGTTCCCTTTTCCCCACAACCGCTCCAGCATAAGCTGTCATCAGTGTTTTTGATTTTGGCCATTCTTACAAGTGTAAAATGGAACCTCAGAATTGTTTTGATTTGCATTTCTCGGATGGCTAAGAATATTAAATGTCTTTTAGCCATTTTAAATTCATCCGTTGAAAATTCTCTGTTTAGGTCTGTACCCCATTTTTTATTGGATTACTTGTGTTTTTGATGACCAATTTATTTTGTATTTCTGTCCAGTGTAGGGTTGGTGAAGATCATTTCCCATATTGTAAAATTTTGTTTTGTCTTGTTGACCATGTCCTTTGCTTTACAGAAACTTCTCAGTTGCAGTAGGTTCTATTTTTTAATTGTTTCTTTCAGTGTCTGTACTACTGGAGTTATATGTAGGAAGTGGTTTTCTGTATCAATGCAACATATGAAAACCTGTCAACGTAATCTACCATATAAACAAACTGAAAAAAAAAACAACACCTGAGCATTTCATTAGATTCTAAAAAAGTCTTCAACTAAATACAATACTTTTTCAAGATAAATGTCTTGGAGAGAGCAGGGATACAGGGAACATAACTAAATGCAGCAAAGCCAACAGCCAGCATCAAACTAAATGGACACACTAAACCTCATAGAAGGGAATGTATTCATTCTGAAAACACTTTATTTGTTTCTATAAGGAATTTTTACTTTTAATTTCAATCATCTAGTTTACTTTGCATCTATCTCTCAGTCATACACATTGTGAAGACAGCAATAACACCTATAATACACAGTATCATGTTCCAAGAAGCTAACAATGAACATTTTATTGAATGATTAATGAGTAATTTGAATATTGGATGAATTAAATAATGAATGATATTCAGACAAGCCAGTCACTGTTTGAAATAAACTGTTTAAGTTATAATAAAACACATTTCCTTTTACTAATATATTAATTTATAAAATATAAAGAATGAATTTATGTAACAATGTCTAAAGTGTTTTGGAATATCATTTAAGGTAAATATATGCAAATAAGTAGGAACACAAATTACCAGATCTCTCATCCTACAAGCATTCAATATAATTACAAATCATCACTAATGCAATGCTAAGATTATGTGTTCACAATTATTGATGCCTACCTCTAATTCCTTAGATTTTCCTGAACAAATATTTATATAGCAGATGAATACATGTAGTAGTACTAGGGCATGGAAGAAAATAGAGATTCTCATTGAGTTGGTAGAGGTCTGAGCTTATCTTACAAAGGGATCCTTGACAATTTCTGAGTACAAGCTTCCTATTCTTTCAGTCACTTATCTATTTAATTCAGTGTCATGGACTTCCCGAGGAATGCATTTTAACCCTATGTTCCCACATGGTTATCTCAAGTGACATATTTTGTCCAGTCTGTCTTTTATTCATGGGCTTTTATTCATGCTTCCTCTGTGTTTGACAATCTTTCCCATTGCTATTCTCATCTTCCTACTTCAGAAATAATTCTTTAAAATATGTATTTTATCTATTTTATGTCTATGTGCATGTGATGCATGTGCAGAAATACAGCTATGACAGCTGCCATGACAGAGAACCACTCTGAAGTAGAGACAACATCGTAAATAAAGGCTTTCAGAACAAAGTATCTTAGGTTTATATGTTTGGGGCAGTTTACATCCTGATCAATGTTGGTCTGAAGCACGATTAATTAAAAACTCAGGGTTAGAAATTGGGGTTCAACCTGAAGATTTGAAAAGCAAATCAGCCAGCTACTGGCTCTTACCTCACTTTCAGTCCAAATTGGTGATCCTGCCTCCTGGAATATCAGAAAGAGACTGCATCTGAGAGCTGTCTTGCCCCTTCTTATATTTCTGTCCAGGGCTGGGATTAAAGATGTGCACCACCGTTATTAAAGGCACAAACCACCTGATTTCTATGGCAACTAGTGTGACTACTGGGATTAAATATGTGTGTTTCCATAACCTGGTCTGTAAGGCTAACAAGTGGGACTGTTTTACTCTCATCTTCAGGCAGTCTTTATTTATTAAAATACATTTGAAATGATACTACACTGTTCACTTCTTTATTTTTATTTTTTATTTATTTTTAAATTTCACTTTACTTTCCACCCATAGTTTTCCTTCCCACTCTTCCTTTCATCCTCTTTGCATCTCCCCCACAAATCACCTTCATCCACTTCTCTCAACAGGTAAGGGCAATCATATGGAATTAACAAAGTCTGGCAGATTAAGTTGTGGAAGGACCAAGCCTCTTCTCCCTTCATTAAGCATGAGTATGGCATCCTACTGAAGGGAATGGACTCAAACAAGGTAACTCATTCACCTAGAATAGATCCTGGTCCTACAGCTAGGGGCCCCTCAGATAGTCCAAGTATCACCACTGTCTTCCACATATGGAGGGCTTAGTTTGGTCTCATGGAGGCTCTACTGCTACTGGTCTAGAGTTCATGAGTTTTCACAAGCCTGGTTCAGCTGTCTCTGTAGATTTCTCCATCGTGATCTTACCTATCTTGCTCATATGTACCCTCCTCCCTCTCTTCAATTGGATTCCCAGAGTTCAGCCTGTTGCTTGGTTGTGGATCTCTGCATCTAGTGCAATAGATTACTGAATGAAGGCTCTTTGATAGTAGTTGGGTTATTCTGATTACTCGTCTCTCCTTGTTCGATAAGGTCATGGCACCAAAGAAAGGGCTGACAGAAGCATACTGACTCCAGAGTTTGTTAGGGTACTTTCTCTGAATTTCATAGCATTTGTAGTAAGTATCTTGAGAAAGAGTAGTTAATTTGAAGATAAATAGATGCCTGGGGAAACCCCTTCTTTCATAAGAGCACCATCTGGGAATGCAGTCGATGTTCTACAGCAGTTATAGAAAACAAAAGAGGTTCAAGAGATGTGAAACTTCACTCAGAAAGTGAAGGTGATGACATTAACACCAAAGCTTGGCCATGACCTGTGAGTTTTGTGAACCTACCACTCCTAACTGTGCTTGCGGAGACTGAAAGGAGTCTCACATGTGTCCCATAAGTTCTGCTCATAGAATGCCCTCCATGTGTGATGTAAACTTTTTGCAGACACTCCTGTGTGGTTCCAGCAGTGAAAACTGCAGAGCCTGGCAAAGGGACAGGATGTCAAAGTGAAACTATTTCCTCCAGGCATGATATGGATTTACAAACATTGGTAGGAAGAAGGCAACTGTGATATGTTAGAAATACCTAAAACAACTTCTCTTTGTTATTTCTACATAATCATTTGAAAAAGTCAGAATATCTAAATCCTAAGATTTCTTTTGTTATGTATTATAGTAACGCCGAATAATGAGAAAATAAAAGTCAGTGATGAATATAAAATAGCTCTATTTGAAATCAAAACACCTTGCAAAGTGAGAATTATTGTTACTACATAAAAAGAAAAACATTAATATTCCAGTTCATTTGACTCTCATTCTATGACATTGTTTAAATTTTATATAGTAGAGTAGACAACTACTGGCATTTTTATATCTAGATATAAAGAATTTTTTATTTTTATTTTTTTTTCAAGAAAAGTATTTATTTATTTATTACAGGTATAGATTACAAAGTCCAAATTAAGAAAAATGCCTTCTTGCTGTCTCTTCTCATGGTGGAGGCATTATAGGGTGAGATCACACCAGAATGAGTGGCCTGAACTCATGTTTTTATTATAAACCTAGTCCCTAAAAACTCCCCAACTCCAGGCATTAATCAAAGAATAAACATTCAACTTCAACATTGTGTCATAGGAAGTCAGAGTTTTAACACATGAATTTTGTGGGCCACATTCAAACCCTAACACTCATCCCTTTAGTAATTTTCCATCCAGTGATAACCATTTGTCCCTACAAGTTCATTCTGTCCCTTAGCTGCGCATCACCATCTTTTCCTTGCTATACTCAGAATCTAACCTCTCCCTCAATGCAATGGTCCCTACATCTAATCCAAGAGTCCCCAATAAAGTCTACTTCACCGATATAAGTGTCACAAATCAGATCTGGTTTTATTGTTTTGTTTTTTGAGACCAGTCTATGTAACCCTAGCTGTTCTGTAATCTTTCTATAGGCCAGGCTGAACTCCCAAAAGATCCACCTGCTTCTGCCTCCCAAGTGCTGGGATCAACAGTGTGCACGACAACCAGCTAGGATTCAGTTTTTTAATGCACACACTCAAACATACACAGAGGTTTTGTTCATGTCTTAAAAAATTATTATGTCTGTATATGTGTGTATGCACACACAATGTGGGATATGGGGGGGTTCCACATGCAACAGTGTACCCTTGGAAATCAGAGTACAATTTTGTGGAGTCAAGTCTTTCTTTCCACCTCTACATGGGTTCTGGGGATCCAACTCTGGTCACCAGGCTTGAACAAGTACTTTTACCCACTGACTTGTCACCAGCCCCACCAGTCTTCCTCTGCTGCCCTGTTTCCCTTTGTTCTTCCCCCTCCTCCTTTTGCTTCTCTTCTGTGTGGCATGTTAAACCCTGAGACACCACATGCTGAGCATACTCTACCACTGAGCTATGCCCCCAGTCCAGCTTTTCTGCTTTATTAGTCTCTGGTGTAGCTCATGATTGTGCTCCAACATTCAATGAATGAATATACAGGCCTGATTTACACAGGATTCCACTCCCTCCTGAAATCATACTAGAGTACCCCTAAAGTTGAATGGGTACAACCCCAAAAGAAGAACTAAAGGTGTTATCAGATACAAGGCGGTCAACCCCAATTCCAGAAGGGAGAAAGCAGATGAACAAAACTGTCTGAATTGGATCCTGCAGTTCCAGAAGATCTGCCAATCTGCTTTGAGGAACCTGGGAAAGAGACCTTAAACAGAAGAGTAATCAAAGGTAAGCTGTTCATTTACATGTTCTCTCTTTTCACTACTGAGAAATTATCATGTTTCCAGTCTTTTGCTTTGTTTTTCGACCTTGTCTCTAATGTTCTGGAATTTTCTACAGTTCTGGACCAGGGACACCAAACTCTCCCTAAAGTTACTAGTCTGTGATCTCTGCCAATGATTTCAAGCTCATCAAAGAAAGTCAACTTCTCTCTGAGTCTGGCTTTAACAATTTTTTGCTCCTCTAATTCTGCAAGAAGGGCCTGCTCAGTGCATAATTCAACCTTATTCTTCTCCTGTAACTCTTCGATTTCCTTTCTGAGAAGCTGGAATTTTTCTTCACTAAAAGGATGTGTCTCCTGACACTTATCTTCAGGAAGCAGGATGTTTGGGGGAATCCTCAAAACTGCCTGCAAAATCAGCTGCTCCATTTTGCCAAAAAGGTTATCAAAACGTCCTTTCATGAAGCAAAGAAACTTCTCTGTGCATTTACGAACTTGGACAGGGCTAATCTCCGAGTTTGGGTCGTCCTCCAGCTTCTTTAGGATAACCTGTTCAACAGCCTGCATCACTTCAAACAGGTGGTCTTGAAATGCTAAGTAGATCCTCAGCAGGCAAGTCTCTGGTGTGAAGCCAAAAAGCTGGGCCTCATAGGCCATCGGATCCACGGACATCCTGCTTTATTTTGCTACCCTCAACTGTGAAAACCGAATACTTCTGACATGATCAGGATAGTCTTTGCCCCAACACAACCGAATTATAGTTTTTTTTTCCCCTTCAAGTAGGCACGCAATGAACACAGATCCATCGAATACCAGCTGGAAAACGCCTCCCTGAAGAACCAGCCACAACCTCCTTCGCGTTACTTCAATATTATTAACTCATCTACCATCTCTTCTCTGCCAGAGTTCCTGCTGCTGAAGTTAAACAAGGGAAGCGCCCAACCGATCTCGACGAGTAGATGGGAGCCCACGACCACCACAGATTTTTTTTTTATTTTTATGTATTTATTATTATTTGTATTTGTGTGTTTGTATATGTGACCACATATGTGATTATGACCATGTACATGTGAAGGCCTGCAGAGACCAGAAGAGAACATTGGTTCCCTAAATCCCAGATTTATATGTGGTAGTAGGCTATTTGATGAGGATGCTGGGAACTGGTCCCTTGTCCTTTACAAAAGTAGCAAGTACTCTTAATTAAAAAAATGTCTCTCTGTTCCAGAACAATATTTTAATAACAACCTTTGGATTTGAAGACAATTAATGTAAGTGGACATGCTAAACAAGGGAGGGGATAAATATACTCTATTATATAGTTTTTATGTTCTCTGGAGTTAATACTATCATCCTGATCTGCATCTGTTTTGTTTTCTTCACTATTACTGATTTCTCCACTAGAATCAGGAGCTCCTCAAAAGGATGCTTTTCAAAGTGTGTTTCATGTCATATACTCAGGCACTCTTCCTGTCCTTCCATCACCAAGAGGGTTTTGTGCCTTTCTTCCTTCACTGTACAGGACTGTCAGGCAGCTGCCTCTCTCAGCCTCTGTCTCAGTCCTGTACTGTTGAACTATTTCCCAGAGAGCTTGTTAATTCTGTCTCTGATTGATTCTCCCAGAATCAATAGGTTATCAAAAGTAAATGAATAAATAAATAAGCAAGCAAATGTCCAGTGCTAGCCGTGATATTCTTTCTCCAACTGTCAGAATGTATTCCAGAGATCCTGCAAAGCAATACAGGGTTTTGCTATTGCTCTTGGTTGAATGCCAGAACTAGATGCTAAGATTTTACTGTTACACACTTTGTTCACAGGTCTTGGAAAACTCATGCTGGTACGGACCTAGAAGCTTCCTTCTGAGGGCTCATTTTCAAAGTGCTGGAAAGTGCAATGCAGACAGCTGTTCAAGAAGAGTCATCAATAGCTTTATCCAGTTATGAACTTGAGACATACAACAACTGGATGGACAAAAACACACCCATTAATGTGATAGTGTCATGGATGTTATGAGTATAACCTACCGGTTTTCTTACTGAATTTAAGGTACAATAACCTGGCCTGGTACAATAACCTGGCCAAAAAAAAAAAAAAAAAAAAAAAAAACCCACAAAAAAAAAAAAAAAAAAAAAAAAAAAAAAAAAAAAAAAAAAAAAAAAAAAAAAAAAAAAAACTATAGCCAGGGGGTTAGAGACCCTTCTGGAGTTCTTACTAATATTTAGCCAAATGTGGTATTGAGCTGCCTTCTACATAGTTAGCCTTATACCCATAGATAGTGCATCTTTCAGGGTTCATCAGAGAAGATATTTTAAGCAGAGGGCAGTGGGAAATATAGATATTCAAACCAGGTCGAAGTACAGAATGCTCAGCTCTGATCGGGGCATATGTGTCACACCCCCTAACACTAGGCTCAACATGCTTTTAGGAAGAAGAAGCGATATGACGTCAAGGTCAGAGATCAGAGAAGGCCACCCCAAAATAGTTGTATTCTGAATATCAAAGGACTCTTGTGTTTTTAAGCTCACAGAAGCTGTGGTGGGCCACACAAGATGTGACCGGTGTTATCAAGGAAGTCACCGAGGGTGGAGGGGCTCAGGAGACCCCACTATTTGATGAGGGGATAATGACACTCTAATGGAGTAGAGATGGTCAGTTGCCTTCTGCTGTGAGGACTCCAGTAGGTTTCACTGGCTCTAGTGGATGACTGCCTTACACCTATGTGCACAGGGACAGCATTCATGGGACTACAGCAATGAAGTACATCATGTGAGGAATATATGATAGGGCTAGTTACCAGTGTTTTGGGGAGGAAAGAAAATATGCTAGTGTCATAAGCATCCTTTGAAGATGCATCCCAGCAACCTAACTACTTCCACGAGGCCCCACTCTTTAAGGCTCCACTACTTTGTTCAGTTCTGGGAACAATACCCTCAAGAAAGAAACCTAGGACAAACATTCTTTTTGCAATATGCAGCAGCTAAGCTGCTTGAAATAAATTATTATTCCTGAGAATGAAGTACAAAACTGTTTTTGGCTTGTTTGTTTACTTTTGTTTGTTTTTCTTCATGAGATCTTTAAGAGAGAACTCTTAGTAACTTCATGCCATTATGTAGTCATTCATTTTAACATTGCAAGATGATTAAGGCAATTTTCTTTAAAATAATAATAAAGAGAATGCTGTGCCTCTAATTGATTTCTTATGCTTATATAAAGAGAAACAATATTTTACTTCCCTAAATTCCTCATGAATTTGCATGAGGAAAGGCATTCTCTGGAGAAGGGTTGCAGAAATCAGTCACAGTGCAGTAATTCTAAACTTAAGCCGAAATAAATGGCTTCTGCTCAGCCAATTCAGTACTTAGTTATTTGAGCCAATTATTTTTCAAATTTTATGAAAGAAGTAAGAAGAAAGTATATAGTTCTCTTTTTTAAGAGTACATGTTCATGTTTAATATAATGAAAAGTGATAAAATATTTAAATGTTTAAATTAAACTAGATAGTATTCTTGTTTGTAAGTATTAGTTATTTTTAGATAGGCCAAATATTTATATGCATATATATGTGCACACACATATATATAAGTGATTTACATATATAATATATTACTGAGTAACTTTGCATTTTAATTTATTTCAGTAAAGTAAGATTAAATAAATAATATTTATAATCTTAATTTTATAAAATGACATTTTAAAATGTTTTAGAGGTTAATTGAAATTATTGCCATTTTATTTACTTTGACAAACAGCAAAATTTCATGAGGTCAATGATAGTTTTAAAGAACACAAAATGTTTTATGCATGTTTGTCTTTGAAAAGATATTTCTTGATTAATAATTTATGGGTTAGTATCTTTTACATAGGGACAGAATTTTCAAATCAGGATTAAATATTACCCTTTTAGGAAATGTTTTCTTTAGAGATTACCTCAATTAACAATTATTCTAAATATAAGTGTCAGTAAGAATTGTTTTAATTGAGCATCCCCAAGTATTCATTGGCAGATATTTAAATACATATGGGTAGATATTAGTATTTTTAATGAAAACTAGTTCGTACTTAGCTCTAAGATAATCTGTTTACCAAAAATATTCATTAAATGCTTCTCAAATAAAATATAAATATATTTGTACTTTTAAGTGTAACATTGGATAAATACATTAACTATGAATATCTATACAGGCTTTGCATACATATGTTAGTGGTATATTTTAACTTTGGATCAGTGCTCATTGACAGAGTCCCAGTTGCTATTTTTTACTTTAACATTTCTTTGTGTGCTTTTGTAGAACATATTTTAAGGTTTTGTGCAACTTTTTAACCCTTTATAATAAAGACAGTGATGCATGTACCTGGTTTCTAGTTTCCTTGTAGGCCTAACATTCTATGTACCCATGACTTGAACTTCCCAGGTCATACCAGTTCCTTCCTGTGATACTGGCGCTCATAACACATGCTCCAATAAACATCCCCCAGGTCATCCCAAATTGATGCTATCAAAGAGGCAGGTGCACACTTCAGCCCAAAAATCAGTTTAAATTTATGTGTTTTGCATTCATCCCTTTAAGTTCTACTCACAAATCATTTTTTTTGAGGTTCTATTCTTGTGTTTCTGTGATTTTGCCTTAGGTTCTTAGTCTTTGGTATTCCAATGTATGTCCTTTTCATTGGAGAGAAACTGAACTAGGGTTAAGATCTGTGCAAACCTACTGCTGTCCTTAAGAGAATAACTATAGCAGCAGAGGCTTCTACTGGATTCACTCAAGGCAACTCTGATTGACATCTGGATGAGGTCATCTGGATCCCATCTCTCTTATGTAAAGTACATCATTTCTGTTCTTATGATAAAAGGAGAAGGGACCTTTATACATCGTGGTGCTTCTTTGGGTGATGAAATTCACCATGATTACTCTCATTCAGTCTATGTATTTATTTAAAGGAAAATATTATTGAATGTTTATAATTTAAACACGAGCCATTAATCAATATAAAAACAAATGATAATAATGGCAGCAGCTGTATACACAAGCATATACACATCAACAACAAAAGTAAGAGGGAAAGTTTGTGATTGGAACCAACTATAATCCCACAGTTCTTGGTCTTGAAAAAAATACCAAGTAGAAGTGGAATATTTAATTTTGGTTTTCTTTTTAAATCTTTCACAAAACTAATATGTTGTGAGCCATTTATTAAGAATTATTTTGAACAAAAGCCTCTATTTTGCTGAGACATAAGTATGACATGCAAAATATGATTTTTAAATATAATTAATTTAACAGCAGGGACTGAGGATGGCAGTGTTTCTATGAATAAGAGCTCAATAGGGCATGTGACCATTGAAAAGGCCCCAGTCTTCAGCCAGAAAAGACAAAGACATCTCTTCTAGCATCTAGCTTCAAAGTGAGCAGCTTTACTTTACACAGAAAAAAAGCTTCGAAGTTGGTCTGAACTACTGAAAATTCCAAGTCAATACAAATATCAACAAATATTAAAAATGAGGTCAGCTGTCTCCTTTGGTTTCATGGTGACATATTAAGAATATATTTATGTTTGAAATTATTCACCCAACTCACTCAAGAGATGTTTGTTTGTACAAAATTCATCATGCTTTAAAAAGTAATAGGAAGCAAAAGTCCATAGATGTGATAAACTAGCAGCCACAGGAGAATGGGAATACACAGTTAACAGTGTCTGAAGGAATTAGACAGAA